CTAGACTTCTACGAAAGTAGACAGCAGAGATATAAAAAAATAAAATTCGTTATTTAGCTTTTACATCGGACTACATTTTTTGCTTTGATTCATCTATTTTAAAGCCTCTAGTAAGGCGTAAAGGGAAAGCTCTAAGCGCGACCTCGAAAATTAGCACATCAGGGAAGGAATGTTACCTCTGGTATTCCGTCTAGAGACGATATTTCAGTTAAATGAGGCTCTTCTACCTGTCGGCACAAGTTCAGGGTGTGGTTACCCTACAGTCTGATTCTCTCGCTGTCCCAAAACAAGACTCTGACTTCCCAAATCTGGGTTGGGGCTGGCTCAGGGCCTCAAGTTCCTACCCTCACCCCGCTGACACAGCCCCTGTCTAGGTAAGAACCGGCCCAGAGGACGCGATACCCGGCTCCGCAGCCCCAGACAACTCCACGTACACGCGGCGGCCTCCTCCGGAGACCCCACAACCTTTTCGGAGCATAGCCTGCTGCCCCACCACCCAGGAACCAGGGATTCTGAAGGCAGAAAAAAGAGACCATACTCAAGCACAGGCTCTCGCATCCGACATCTGTACGAGGCTGGGGGGTTGCGCTGGGTTGAGTCTGGGGACAGAGGGTCAGGATCAGGGAAGGCGCTGCGGCCGCTCCATAGGAAAGAACACGTGGGAGCGGTGATGTCAAGAGCACTTAAACCCTTCGACGCCGATTCGTTATAACGCGAGGACATATAGAGGAAAAAGCTGATACCAACGGCGAATTATAAAACCACCTAAGAATTAATTTTGTGGTTTTCTGCTTAGACAACGCTCTCTATTTCTGACTTCCTCGCCAGTAACGACCGGAATCTGTCGAAACTCTTTGGAAGCCTAATTTACTTAATTGCACATCTCCCAACGGTCTCCAAGAGCTACACTGTAAACGGTCCCTAATACACACAAGTAGTATTACCGGCTAAGTCGGGAACTCTTCAGATCTTTGATGAGTGTCTTGGGTTTTATTTAATGTTAAATCTTGTGGGGCAATGTGCTACCTTAAAAAAAATAAATCCACCCTGTTTTAAGTATTTTGTGGTGAGTTTGTTTCCACCCGGAGAAGGATGGAAGAGCACCGGAGAGCACTTAGCCTTTTGGTTGGATGCTGTGGATGATTTTCTTGGCGCGCATGCGCGTTGTGTCTCAAGGGCGGGTTTAAAGGAAGTGGGTGTTGATCAGCGGGCAACTGAAGCTGTTGTCAGGTTAGACCTGGGAAGGCGAGGTTACCGGGCGTCCTGGAGTCCCAGAGGGGTGAATTTAGGAGTCCGATGGTTGCATCTAGAAGGGTGTGTAAGAGTCTCTGACTGACCAAGGCTATTAAGCTTCTTATATGGGTGATTTTTTAAAAAATAGCATTTCAGTTTTATCTGCTTGACTCCCTAGTTTCAAACCTTAATCCCGCCTCCGTGTCTGTTTGGTTTTGTACTAGGAACCTCTCGGGTTGGGGAGTGATCTGTTAATTATGGTTATTGTTGCTCATGCGAGCGTTCTCTTGTCACCCCCACTTTCAGATTCACTGGCGTGATGCATTAGTAGACTGATTGGGATTAATGGGTAAATGTGACTTTATAGTCATTTTTAATCCTGGATTAAATACCAAAATTTAAATTTTCAGTTTAGTGGATTTAGACATTTTAAAAACAGCTAACTGCGTGTTCTAAAATCACTTTTGAGATTTACGTTTTCTTTATATCCCCCTCGCTCCTCTACCCCTCGGTCCTCAAAGAGGTGAAAATTTTGTTTCGAAGTCTTATAAATACAGAAGAAATTTCTTCCAGTCAGAACTGTGGGACTAGTTTTGTTATCAACAATATGAAAGGCTCTGAGGTTAGCCCGGAAAAGAAAAAAAGGGTTAAAATACCAGCGAAGAGACTTCGTGAGGTAGTTTCTCCAAATCATGGAGATAATTTGGCTTTGCTGAAAGATGAGTTGCCCTGTGTTCCTCCAGCGTTGCCTGCAAATAAACGTCTTCCTGTTAGAACGAGGACTAGCTTGAATGGAACATCATGTGGTATGTGATTGCATATAGTTTCTCAACCAGCTATCACTTTTTAAAATCTTTTAGTCCTTATTTTCATTTCATTTTGTTTGTTTCAAAATTTAGAGGATTCTTAATGTTTAAATTCCTGGAATGTAAGATTGAAGTCTAGTTTGCACATATGTTTAAAGACTGAGTCTGTTTCCTGGGAAAATGGCCAGGCAGAGTCTACAGTGTTAGAATAGATTGAATGAATGAAACTTTAATGTCTCCTATTGTAGTGGAGTTTTTTTGTTTGTTTGTTTTTGGCGTGAGTTTTTGCCCATTGTTCTTGTTCACATCTATGATGGACACACTTAACTTGTATAATGTGCTTTACTTTCCCCAGTTGTGCTTTTCCCCAAATGCTCTATTTTCTTTTTATAGTAGAAAAGCATGACTGCCATTGACGGCTTCCATATTCCAATTCACTTAACCTGTCTAGAGCTCAGTGAAAATGAAGATAACATAGGCTTAACCCATTTTACTGGTAATTTTTAGGATCTAATTAATGAATATATGGGGGAAAATGACAAAATGCTTTAGTAATGGTGCTTTTTTGGGGGGTATGGTGGTGACACTCTAATAGACCTGCTGTTAAATCAGACTTTTACATCATGTACGTATTGCTACCTATGGTTCGTTCACATCCAACAGTGTACTGATATATTTTAAAGCATTTTATATTTATCTCACTTTGTCAGTACTGAACCTTATTTTTATTTTCCCAAGTATCAATTGTAAAAACTGTCATTTGGATATACTTAAATACATTTTCT